TCAGTGAGTCTCGCAACTCTTAGCACCACAACAACTCGTCAAAGAGACAAATATTTGTTTAACCCTATTTAATGCAACTTAGAACACCAATTTTCTCTGTACTTTTATGCACTATTTAGTTGCAACCAATCCATTTCATGATTCTGCCTGTCGAAAACTTATTTTTCAACTTAATCTTTGCTTTCTTTCATCGTGTTCACTCCTTGTTGATCTACTCGCTACCAATAATTTCTGTCATTCATCCTCTTTATACAAAACTTCACTACTTTCAAGATTAATACGAGCATGCATTATGCCACACCCCATTCATCTTGTTCTCTATTCATTTTCATTGCATTATTAAATCTGTCATGTATGACATCTACTGTCTGTACGCTCTATCAGTCTTTGTCTCGATGTGCCCCGGGCCGGTGAAGGCGGTCTCCTCCTCTTCCTTTTCATCTGCCACTACCAGCGTGGAAATCAAGAATGGCGACTGGAAACGGTGCCTTTACCGGCAGGTAGAGAATCCGACAACGCTATCGGCATAGGTAGTCCTGTACGAATAATGCTTGTCAAGACAAATGACTGCCTTGACTCAGAAGAGCAATCCGGAGGCCTTATGCTGCGCCAATGCTCCCCGGAACGAGCTGGTTGGCAAACCTGGTTGGTACAAGAACTACGCTTGGAGGATTTTGAGATGGCCAAGAAGAAGGCTATGATTATAAGGAAATAGGCTTTTGAACATCAGAATTTATCGCCGACGCCTTAAATGCATTCTTCATCTCTTTTAACTCGCTTGCCTTTGTTACTAACACCATGGGCACTTAAGATCTGGCTGATATGCCTCAACTTCTTTATTTATTGCACCTATACCTTTATAGAGTCTATTTTAGGACTAACTGATACGGAAATATATTACGACCGGTCTCTATGATAAATCTTATTGAATCTGCCTGCGACACTTAGAAAAAAAATGCAATACCACTATTTTTTTGACATTGCAGCTGTGATAACCATTCATCTGTTTATTAAATTATTGACCTATCAACTTCATGCCTATTTTTATTTTGTAAACTAGCTAATTTTATTTGATTTCTTCTTCAATCTCTTGCTTTGTTGGCACGATTCACTCACACGTAACTTTTAATCTGAATGACCCATCTTGCTCCGTAAAATCTTTACTTGAAGCATAGCTTGTTTTCTATTCACCCATCTAACTAAGTATTCTCTATAAGCATTGTTCCCATCTGTTTTTTTACGTTTTCCTTGAATTTTAAGAACCACTTCTTCGACAGAATTGGCTTAATTACTTATACCTATTGAACCCGCATTCTTTGAGGCTTTGAAGTTTTGATTTCCTCACTAATCTGATTTCCTTAAAAATAACAAGCTTTTCTTTCTTGTTTAAAATGATTTTCGATATTGGCGCTTGCCTTATGAATTTTATCTTGTATTTTGCCTTATATTCTTGGCGAGGCAAATTTAGCTTTTCTTCTCTTTACAGATCATTCCTAAATTCCTCACTTTAGTAACCCTAATATCTCGTTAACAACTTTTATCTATAAAAAATAGGCACATTTTTAACACTCTTAGTCAATGAAAATTCTACATACATAATTTACCTCGGATTGTCTACTCTTGGCTAAATTTCCACACTTATTAAAAATCTCCGAAAAAATATTTACCCACTCAGATGCCCCGGCTGTTTTCAATATATTAATTACTAAAACTTACGCTAGTCAATAGAACATTATGCTTGTCTTAGCCAATTGAACTGACTACGTAATAGGCCTTTTCCATTGACTTTCCTTGGCATCCCACTATTATTATCACTTAGCGATCACATGATTTCTATCTAGTTATAAAGCAAGTAATTTGCCTTTATGCAGTATGCATTTTTGTCTGCACTAGCGCATTCACATTTCATTTGTATTTATTTTACATATATTCCGAGCACGAATAAGACGATTTAACAACCACATAGTTTAATTGCGATTATATGCAATATTAAGGAATAAAGGGCTCTATTTAGATGCTTATCTGGTAGGATTTACTCCTGTTTAGTTTTTTACCTTTGTCAACTTTGAAAAAGCTGTATACTTTGACTTTAACTGACCTGAAGTAAGCTGGAAGGAGGCTCTAAACTTTTTTATTCTGTGGCTAGAGTGCCTATATACTTATAGTTGCTTTTAAGATTTACTATTCTTTTATTTATTCCGTTAGGTGCACGT